GAACAGACCAAACCAAGGAACCGTTGCGAGGGCTAAAATGGTTATAAGTGCCGCTGAATTAAATCTTATCCATCACCCACGTGAGGATAGCTAAGTGTATCACAGATGTGTTTTTGCAATTTCAAACTTCCGCCGTCGGTGTCAATAAGGGAGACACCGTTTCAAATGGAAATGAAATGTTCCGTGGCGTTCGCCGTTACTACACCAGAAATGGGCTTCACACATTGTACCCATGTGGGGAGTTGAACCCGGCCCGGGCGAACGCTTTTAACCACTAGGCTACCCACCGCCCCTTTGCTAGCTGTGATGTTGGACAACGATTACACTAGGGCAAACGTCAAAACATTTATTTCACAAATAGCCTCGAACGAATTAGTCAGTGATTTGTTTCCTGCTGTAAGGAATTCTTCCGGTTTGTAATGGCAAATCGTCAGTGTATGAGAGCAGGGACAACTATGACAGGACACATTATGTTTCACACACGCCGAACCTCGTTATGGAAGGACGAGTTTTGATAAAATCTTCAAGTTAATTCATTGATTAATTGTTCATGTTACCAATGTTGGTGATTGTAACAAATGTATAACTAACGTTAAAATAGTTTGATTCATCGCAAATCATACTAAATGCAATACACTACAAACAACGCATATGTATGTCACTGCGCTATATACGGCGCCTCGTAAATGTCCGTTTATACATGTACTACTAAGGAAGTATTGTGATTTTAAAGTCAACGATTATTTTCCAATCTCAAGGCGATTCAGAAACAAGGAAGGCAAAGTGTTTGTCTTAAAAGCTAACTTAATTCAGCATTGTGTTATGAGCGTCTCTCCACATCTACATTATGCCCTAGTATGTATGCACGTGAATGTATGTGTGTGTGTGTGTGTGTGTGTGTGTGTGTGTGAGTGAATGTAGATGTGGATGTGGATGTGTACTTGTGCACGTGTGTGTATTTCTGTAACATAAAAATTGAAATAATGACACACTGATACTGTTGAAATGGAACAACAAATAGCTTGCTTTCGGGAACAGAATATTTCCGATGAATCGGAGGAAAGCAGTACATATGGAAAGTATTGATCAGTATGTAAATATAACACATACACACCTATATATACATGTCTGTCTGTTTATATGCATGGAATGATGGAAGGATGGATGAATAGATGGATGGATGGATGAATAGATGGATCGATGCATGCATATTTTATCGCGACTTAACAAAAAGGAAAAACAATTTTAATGAGAACACTGTACAATGTAACCGATTTTACAAACATATAACATTAATAACAACAAGTAACCGTTTCGGTTAAGAAATAGGATTGTACATCCTCTGTGACTTATCCAATTCAAAACTACATGGCTTGGTCATAAGACGCGTCAAACAATAATCAGACAACAAAGCTGTATTTATAGCCAACTGTAAGGGAAGCGAAACTCATAATGATGCATTGAAATTGTCACAATTAATTTAAAAAGATGTGAAACCGCACTGGTCATTACAGTTTCAAAGGAACCAGAACATAGCAAATTTATCATTTGTTATATTACAAATATATCTCACGACGTGAGTGGAATATTTACCGATCAACTGATATTTTTGTTGCAATACGCGTCGGAAATTGCCGAATTGACGTTAAATTTGAACCCACTAACGTACCCCTTACGGTACGTATTTTCAAATTGATATTAGCCTTTAAACCACACCTTTAAACACGCAGAATAAAATGAGTCCTGGTATCACAAACAGAATTATGTTTTATGTTCAGACTGCAGGAGGGTTTCACTTCATATTACATAGTTTGCATTACATATTCTTCAAGAAGGATGTATCTTACATTTTGCGAACAAAGCCCAGTCAGTATCTTAGGTCAGGCAAATGCCAACGGTCTGAACTAGAAATATTTTCTGGTTGTTCATGCAAAGGAAATCGTTGGTACGTTACCAGCGACAACTATGCACTGTGCATATCCTGAACGATCTTTCTCACGATCGAACGCAGATCATTATAATACAAGCTACACAAAGATATAGAATCATTATTCTCTTCTTCATGATCTGAGTATTGTTGAGTACAGTTCAGGACAGGTCCATGGTCCATGAGAGTGACAGGTTCATAGTCTTGGTCCAGTGGTACTAATCTGTTCCTGGTGGTATTGGCATCTGTAGGGTCGACCTCATTCACCCGGTTGAAACGTTTGAAGTTAAGTGTGTGGTATCCTAAACTGTTTTCCGCATACAGCTGACTGTTTTCAGCGCCACCAACAGGTGAACATTCGACAACATCATAACGTTGACGTTGAACGATGTTCGATGTCGTAGATGTCGAAGGGTTCTACGTTGGTGAACACCTGCAACAGGGACGATTACTGTGGTTTAGGAAAAGGTTCTCGTTTAGAACAGGGACCGTGGGGTAGCCTAGTGGTTAAAGAGTTTACTCGTCACGCCGAAGACCCGTGTTCGATTCCCCACATGGGTACAATGTGTGAAGCCCATTTCTGGTGTCCCCCGCCGTGATATTGCTCGAATATCGCTAAAACTAAACTCAATCACTCGTTCGTTTAGAACGAGGTTTGGCAGCTCAAAGTTATATATATTGATAATATCATTTTCTCTTAAATGCGGGTCTTGATATGGGAGGTACTGGAGCATGGGGATTAAAGTTATCTGAGTCGAAAAATGTTGGCGCCAAGAAGATGTAGAATCCTGTTGCTGTAAAAGAAAGAAAGAAACTCGCCCTGTTTGTGGTCCTGGGTATAAAGGGCCATCCACATGGTCGCTGGATGCAAAAGGACGTAAAGCACTCACTCACTCACTCCACTCACTCACTCACTCACTCACTCACTCTCACTCACTCACCACTCACTCACTCACTCACTCACTCACTCACTCTCTCCTCCACTCACTCTCACTCTCACTCACTCACTCACTCACTCCACTCACTCACTCACTCACTCACTCACTCACTCTCTCACTCACCACTCACTCACTCACTCACTCACTCGCTCACTCACTCGCTCACTCACTCACTCACTCACTCCCTCGCTCGCTCACTTGAATAGTAATCAGGTTTTATGAACGCAATACATAAGGTTACCTTGTTGTTTGATCCTTATCAAGACAATAGCAGCAACGATGAATACAGCCAGCACTATAAGCAGGACACAGCACCCGACCATGATGTAAAGGACAACTGTAGTAACATCTGAAATATCAATTTATATTATCGAATCTTATGCATTTCCTGGCAGTCGGTAAGAAATTGAAACCATGTTTCCCATGTGTGTTGTGAATCCTTTGGTCCAATAGAGTTTAATGTCGCAGGAGATACTGGTTTAAGAAAAATCATGTTTGTCCTTCGACCTTGAACTGTTACAAATGGTTTATGGAAAAAAACCACATGAAATATTAAAGAGGACACACACATTTATTTAAAGAAAATAAAATGGATCGAGATTTTTTCTCAAAATATTTTAATACTTTGTAATAATGAATGACATTACTTTGGTCAGTTTTGGCGGTTGTAGCTGTAGAAAGAGGTACCCCGGTAGTTGTCGCAGCTGAGGTTTGTGTGCTGGAGACAGTCACTGTGTTAGGTGTGGCATCTACTACAACAGGAAGCAGATAGTAATACCATCCACCATCTGTATCATAAACAAAGTGAGTGAGTTTAGTTTTACGCCGCACTCATCTATATGGCGGCGGTCTGTAAATAATCAAGACTGGACCAGACAATCCAGTGATCAATAACATTAGCATCGATCTGCGCAATTGGGAATCGATGACATGTGTCAACCAATCCCGTTAGTCGCCTCTTACGACAAGCATGCGTTACTGAAGGTTCATTCTAACCTGGACCTTCACGGGTGTATCATAAGCACAGGTACATGCACAATCTGAAGGGATTGTTATATTAGGAATTATGAAGTGTTTGCTCCACACATTTAGTTTAAATATTTGCTCTAAAATTGACAGCATTCGAACCTCCAAACTCTACATATTTTATTTTCAAATACCAGGGATTTTCATGCTGGGAAATAATATCAATTTAACCGTTTGAGATCTCGTCGAGATGTATCATGTTAAATTATGAAACTTGTGAAACTTTGGACAGTGGGGTATGAAGGTACCCCGTAGCAATATCTCGCAGGAGATACTGGTTTAAGAAAAATCATGTTTGTCCTTCGACCTTGAACTGTTACAAATGGTTTATGAAAAAAGCCACACGAAATATTAAAGATGACACACACATTTATTTAAAGAAAATAAAATGGATCGAGATGTTTTCCCAAAATATTTTAATACTTTGTAATAATGAATGGCATTACTTTGGTCAGTGTTGGCGGTTGTAGCTGTAGAAAGTGGTACCCCGGTAGTTGTCGCAGCTGAGGTTTGTGTGCCATCTACAACAGGAAGCAAATAGCAATACCATCCACCATCTGGATCATAAACAAAGTGAGTGAGTGAGTTTAGTTTTACGCCGCACTCATCTATATGTCGGCGGTCTGTAAATAATCAAGACTGGACCAGACAATCCAGTGATCAATAACATTAGCATCGATCTGCGCAATTGGGAATCGATGACATGTGTCAACCAATCCCGTTAGTCGCCTCTTACGACAAGCATGCGTTACTGAAGGTTCATTCTAACCTGGACCTTCACGGGTGTAACATAAGCACAGGTACATTCACAATCGGAAAGGATTGTTATATTAGGAATTATGAAGTGTTTGCTCCACACATTTAGTTTAAATATTTGCTCTAAAATTGACAGCATTCGAACCTCCAAACTCTACATATTTTATTTTCAAATACCGGGAAATTTCATGCAGGGAAATAATATCAATTTAACCGTTTGAGATCTCGTCGAGATGTATCGTGTTTAATTTGTGAAACTTTGGACAGTGGGGAATGAAGGTGCCCCGCAGCAATATCTTGTTAAGAGAGAGCGTTTTGTTCGTAACGTACCCTGAGTACTTGCTGACGTTATGGAGGCTAGAGCCGCCGTTTGAGGTTTTGTTTGACCAATAGTGGAAGGTACAATACTAGTTGAGACCTGTGTACTCTTACGATCTGAAAAAAGATACATTCTAAACAATTCAAGTCTGTCAAGTTTTTATTCCTCCTTATAAACTAAGGATTGTTATTAGAATACTGACAACTTTAGTGATGTGATCTCCCATTCTGAATCTGAATCTAAAACATGGTAGTTTAGGTTTATAATTTGTTTGACAAATGAAAAAGATGAAGGTTCTTTAGCAGTGGCCATATACCTTTTTCCACGTATACACATATGACGATATTTTTACTTTCAACTTGTGTTGAAGGATGCAAGCCAATATTTATTAACCCTAATGATCCCTTAGTTACCCTGCCAAGGAGATAAAACTGATCAACTGCATCCAATACAATTTTTCCTGTAGTACCGTTGAACATATTTTGAGCCCAAACTGGTTTCATTCACAGCGATTTTCTATTGCACATGTGTAACATTAACCAGAATTTGTTATCGTAGGACGTCAAGTGTAGATGTCGTAGGACAAAGAACGGCACTCTTGTTAAAAATGTTTTACATATTCAAACAATTACTCGAGACTTACCAGCAATAACAAGGTTGTGGCCACCATGAAATGATCTTCGCTTGTAATCACTGAAGTAATAACGGCCACCGTCATCCTTCGTAACATTACAGATCAGCAACTCAACTGTTTTCCGGTATGGTGAAGTGAACAGTCTGATGACCTTCACTTTCGATCGACTGTTTGGTCAGATATAGACAGATATAGATTGTATGGTGGCAATGAGTTCACCACTAGGAGACCAAAATCCCATCACACCAACCGTCACCCTCCCTGTCAGGGATATGGTGACATCCTCGCCTTCACTTGCAGTTGTGGTGGTAGTAGATGAGACTGAAACATTGAGAAAGTGTCCTTTTTAGCAATTGACAACAAAATATGCCATGGTGTGCATAAATGTATGTCAGGGTATGTATGTTTTAATGTCGTTATTTATTATGAATTAAGCTGAATATGCTTCCATTATGATGTCATCGCATGTAATGTTTTTTATGGCACATTTTCACATAAATTGTCCTTCTTATGGTAATTGTATTTTTATTCAATTGAAATAATGATGATACCTTATATCGGACTCACCTTCTTGTCCAAATATGTACTCGTCAGTGCTTAAGGACGATGACCATGCTCCAACTTCCACTTGAACCTGACACGTGTATCTCTTTCCTTCATCTGTCATCCTCGTGGTTTTAACTGTCAGAGTATTGGTGTAGTATCGTCTATTAGCAAGCATTCCAGACCCTCGGTTCATGTCATAGTTTCCTCCATGGGTTAGTCGTTCACCATTTTCACTCCAAATGAAATAGATTTGCGAAACGAACTTGCCCATAGACAGAATATAGCAAGTTATGTTGACATCACTGCCGTACTGGACTCTCTCTGGAGACACGATGTAAGGATCATGCAAGTAATCTGTAAACACAGACATCACCCAACTTGGTTAATACTGATCGTGGCAGGTTCAAAGGGTAAATGTAGCATATGGCATTTAATACAACTGTTTACTCGTTACATGTGTGCTTAATGTAGTCATATTGAAATTATACCTTAGAATAAAAATTATTGGATTTGTTATATTTGTAAGTAGGCTGTTTTAAAATGATATCACACAGCGATACCAATATAACATAATAGGTGTGGAACTGTTTCCCGATGAAGTTACAGATTGCTTGCAAGTATAACAGCAACGCACTTATGTGCAAGTTAATCTATAACAATCAACTCGACTTACTCTGAGCATCGGATCCACGTCCAGTTACAATTACAGAAACACAAATTCCAGCAAGTATCCATGTCCAGATGAATTTGTCCCTCAATTTCACCTAAAGAAATATTTTGTATCTCAACTTCACATTGGACCTCATCATTGCCGTCATATAATGTATTAATAGACAGGAGCACCTTATTATTGTGATTAAGCAGTAGTAATTCATGTATTGATCTGTACAGCCATTTCAGTGGAACTATACTATTAGGCTACCCCACCACCCAACTATACTATGATGATCACCGAAGGAATGAGTGGACTTACCAGGTCCATGGCGGCTACATTTATTCTGCTAAATTAGGACAGCTTTCCTTATCAGAACACAGTCATCAGCAAGTTTACCGACGAAACAGGAAATATTTATAAAGCGTTCTGACACTATGGGCTCTGTGTAATGGTTTCAGTTTCAGTGCTTAATGAAATACTTTATGAAGTATTCTTTTCAACACTTTGCAAACTGAGGAAAATTTTACAATAATAAATTATAAAGGTTATATAAAAAACATCAGTTTGATTATAATCAATAAGTATTTTAGTCTTTGACTTAGTCGTTCTAAGTGTGATCTGACATTTCCATATCTAATTACACGTTTAGACGGCATTTCGCCCAAATTATCACTGGTGAGTTTGAAATGAAGATTATTTGTATGTGCTGTGGAAATATTAACAGCAGCCACATGCACGAAATAATGATACATTAAGCTCAGTACAGGAGGTTCTGACATGCATAAGGTGAGCAATCCTTTTCAGTTATCTGAAGTGGTTCACTCATTGTTTAAAACACATTGAGTAGCAAACTTGCGACAACACGTTTTTGGTCTTCTATAAATAACAGTGATTTTGAATTTGTGATACTGACAAAAGTGAGAGCGTGAGTTTAACGGCGCTTTTAGCAATACTAATATTTAAGCAATATCACAGCGGGGTCACAAGCAATGGGCTTCACACATTGTACCCATGTGTGGAATCGAACTCGGATCTTCAGCGTGTCGAGCGAACGCTTAATCCACCAGGCTACCCCACTGATCCTTCTGACAATACAGGTCCGGCGAGCTGTGTATATGGTAATACATAGTCTAATGATAACGGTAGCAGTGCTCGCCCATATTAAGACAATTAAGGTTGTTCTCGATGGTCGCCAGTGTCTCGCATTTTTACATAAAAGGCAAGGCCGTTATATCTGGGTAAATCTCAAGACATGGACAAATCGGCGTTTGGAGATGGCATCATGTCCTCATTGCATCTTGTATCGAGGTCTACGAAGAAAGTTTTAAAGTTTGTTCATTGTTAAGGTTAATTACGCTGTCACCATTTTAACATATTGAGGAAACATGATCATTATTATTCATCATACTAGGATAATGTTTATACTTGGTGTATTTGTTGAAAGTACATTTTACCCAAGATTGTATTACATATAAATACCTATTCTTCAGGTTTAATACATCTACACGCACGTATAGACAGACAGACATACACACACACAGACACACACACGCACGCACGCACGCACACACACACGCACACACACACACACGTCCGGAATAACAAATCGCGTCCGTCATACCATGCATTAGTTTGACGTGTTCACTTTTACACTCTTGTTTACTGCATTTGTTTTATTTAAACAACCCAACGATGAGTGCGTTTTGGTCATTTTTAGCTTTCACGTACTAATAGGCCTATGATACATTTGAACGGTTCTAACGAATGCGTAGCGGTCTTTAAGATTAAACCACAAACACCCAAATGATTTTTGTAAGAAGCGGCACGATTGGTGATCCTGGTGAAGCTCACTGGCCCAGTTGATTGTGTTCCAAGCCAAACGTCTTGGGAGTGGACTGAAGACACAATTTGATGCTCATGTTTGAAAACATGATCATAAACCCGACGCATGTGTACATATACAGAAGAGATAGGTCCATTTGTAATTATGTATGTCATATTACACGTGTGTCTACAGTAATCTGTGTTCTGGAAAGGACATATTTGTACACAATTTTGACAGAATGAATCGTAGCTTATACATAGTGCCTAGAAATGTTGAGTAGGCTCTCCTGTATCCACTTGTGAGTGAGTGAGTGAGTGAGTAAGTGAGGTTTATGCCTCCTTTAGCAATATTCCAACAATATCATGGCGGGGGACACCAGAAATGGGCTTCATACATTATACCCATGTGGGGAATGGAACCCGGGTCATCGGCGTGACGAGCGAGCGCTTTACCCACTAGGCTACCCCACCGCCCCGGATCCACTAGGATATCATACATATACAGCAGAGATGGGTCCATTTGTGGCCAGACAGCATGAAGTTCACAGCTGTTTTAAGTCATAACCACTTAATGGTAAAATGTGCCAAAATCTGTTTTAATATATACTAGCGGAATAAAGTAACTGTGCATTATTTGGTGTTATACCATATTTTAAGCAAAAAGATAATAACATGATTTGTGGTGTTTTCCTTAATCAATGTTTAACTGTTAACAGGATGAGATCTAAATCTGTATGATTTGACACTAGGCATCATGACAAGCCCTTGAAGAGATGTGGTGTCAAAAGTCAGTTCACAAATTCAGCATCGTGTGTGTCCACCATTGGTGTTGATGCAGGTTTGACAGCGACGACGCATAGTCGACACTAAGCAATTGAAGAAAGCTTGGGGAATGATGTTGCATGTCTGAACCAAAGCTTGTTCCAATTCAGCTAAGTCAATGGCTAATTCTTGGTTTGACGTAAACGTCTCTCCATCTCACCCCTAACGTGCTTAGGGAACGGGTCCAGAGAAACAGCTGGCAAGTGGAGTACAGGAGTGTTTCGCTGTCTCAGGAAATCTGTCAGAAAACAAACGACATTACGGGCATTATCTTGCTGAAGCGTGAAGTTACGTCTCTGTCCATGAATGAACGGCTGCACATCAGGCCCAATAATCTCATCTCTGTATCGCACTCATATTGCCACTGACAATGACAAGTTGTGTCGGACCATGAGATGTGATATCACCCCATACCATAACGCTTTCGATACCAAACTGTCAACGTTGCACAACAGACACGAAGCATACCGTTCAGCATACGCCGTCTGTACACCTTTGCCCTGCCATCTGAGCTATCCAAAAGAAATCTCGACTTGCCAGAGCACAAAACACCATAACAATCGTGTTTCATATGCCGTAGATGCTGTTTGCATCAGGCAAGACGTGCCTGTCGGTGGCGTTGAAACAAAATTGGACGTATTGCAGGCCATCAGGGCTGGATATTGTGCGCACTCAATCGCTTCCGTACAGTCCTGGAACAGATTGGACGTAAGCCAGGATTGTTCCTGAGTAGTCAAACTGGCAGTCTTGAATCGATTTCTTAGATGGGTCAGACGCATGTGGTTTTCTTGCTGACGTGACGTCACGCGTGGACGGCGGGTCCGACGCAAATCTCTCGTGTTGCCATAATGTTGAAAACGTCTCCATAGAGATGAAATCGTGTTTCGATGGACTCCAAAATCTCTGGCCACTTCATTTTGGCCATTCCAGTCTCCAGTATACCCACTGCGCAGAGACGCTGATTTTCTGTAAGCCGTGGCATGACGTACACGCAGTTTAGGTTAAAATTTACGTGTTTTCCAGAACATTCAAAGTTTAGAGAATAGTCAATCGTTCTTCAATTTTCAATATCAGGTGTGTGAACTTCAGGTGTCACAAAGTATGCAAAAAGTGAGTAAGTTCATTGTGCACAAACTGCACGTGCCACGTGCGATACGTGACATCAAATTCCATGCAAAGTGCTTTGGTACATGTTTATTTACTTATATTTTTATAACTTTTCAAATAATTTTTATGTTATGCAAATTTATGTTATGCACAGTTACTTTTTTTCCGTTAGTATGCTTTAGCGTCGTCGTAATCTCCTATATTCTTAAAACTCCTTTCAGAGTGTATACTTTTTATCGTATAAATTCATTATGTTTTAATTTTGTATGCCTATGCCCTACCTTTCAAGTATTCTGTACGTATTTATTTTCATATGATATGTTTATGAATTTTTATGGTGTATGCAAACATACATACATACATATACACACACATACACATACACACACATACACACACACATACACATACATACATACATACATACATACATACATACATACAGACATACAGACATATATACATACATACATACATACATATGTCCTTATATTGTTATATTTTATCTATTCTACGTGTACTTTTAATGTATATATGAGGTGACACTCAAATAAACTATCTCTGTGTGTCTGTCTAAACCCTACGCATGTGTACATATACAGCAAATATAGGTCCATTTGTAATTATATAAGTTATATACACTTGTAGCTACTGCAATCTGTGTCCTGGCAAAGACATATTTGCAAAAAAATTGACAGAATGAATCGTAGCTTATACTTAGTGCCTAGAAATGTTCAGTAGGCTCTCCTGGTACAACAGGATACCGTTTATGTAGTAGGTGTTGAACAAAGCTACAGTCAGTGGCAAAAAGTCTGTTTGCACCGGTGACGTCACGGCTATTTCTAGCGGAGTCGTGTCCCCTTTTAAAATTCGCGTATCTATGTAAATAATAAAGGTACTCACCTCAAATGTTCAGAATTTAGAGACATGACCCTGTGCTCTTAGGACATCTCGCAGTCGTCTTGGTAAACTGTCATATAGACGACGAATGTAAACGGGACAAAGCCCAGTCCAAATGTCATTCACCACACGGATGAGATCTTGTCTGGAGTTAATGTCACCTAATCTGGCTTTGAGTTGATATTTAACAGTTTTCCATACATTTTCAATGATATTGAGATCTGGACTTTGTGGGGGCCACGGCAAAGTCGGAATATGATTTTCCTGTTTCCAAAGGTTAGCCTGACTGGACACATGACAAGGGGCATTGTCTTCTTGGAAAATCCAATTGCGGTTGACAAAATGCCTGGCAACTACAGGCCACAAGTGGTTATCAAGAATGGCAATGTACCTATCAGTGTTCATGTTGCCATCAACGACAGTTAAAGTTCCCACTCCATACGCAGACACCCAAAACATCACTGAAAACTTCGAATTTCGTTCATGATCGGTACGAACCCCCAAACAATCGGGTCGTAACCGCTCATGCGACTTTCTCCACACATAAACTTTTCTGTCTATCCCGATCTGGACTTGTGTCTCATCACTGATAATGACATTATCCCACTCATTTCTTCCCCAATGCAATTTTATCCGACAAAATCGGCGAGAAATGGTGATTTTTCTTGCTTGCCACATGTCTACGGTACCCCTCAGCGAACAATCGTCTTCTGACAGTGCGTGAAGACAGAGTAGTCTGT